GGATGGGAAACTGCCGACGTTGATGACTCCGACGTAAAAGTAGCTGCTGGTCATGCTGCTGAAGCCCTGTCCAAGCAATTTGCATCCAAATACCACCACAGACTCGTCAAGGTTCTCAAGGCAAAGAAACAGGTAAAAATACAATTATTTACTTTGCAATTCTATTTTCTCGAAATTTATATCATAACCCTTTGCAGACAATTCTGTTCTATCAAAATTATGGGATTGAAATTGATTTATAGAAAGTTTTCATGTTGTTTATTACCAAAAATTAATTAAGTTAAAAATATTTATTTTGGTAGGAATGTTGGTGATATTATGAAAAGTTTACTGACTGTTAAGTGTTGGCTTAAACTTCTGTGTTTAAAAATAACTATATTTATAAATTCTGTGTACAAAACTACAAATAAACTCGATGAGAAATAATCAAACGAACAAACGCACAAGAAAAAATAGCTCATCAGTGTTAAACTCTCTTCTTTATTCCACGCTAATCTTTACTACACAATTCCTTAAACAAGGCTCTTCATCTTTATTTATTTATTGTATTTTCTGAATTTATAAGCACAGATTTGTCGCACAAATCAAAGGTGGAAAAATAGCTTACCATCGACATCTGAAAAATATATAAAATTTATGGAAAGTATAGTTTTCAGCTGCTTATATAGGGGTTAAAAAGAAGATTTATTTTCAAGTTTCTTAAGTTATTCGAATTATTGAATTACCTTGATGCCTTACCATAGAATGATGACATGTGGAAATTTTATTTATTAACCTCGTTTTATTTATAGAAATACGAAGAATTTTTGACTGCGTTTATTTATTTTGATTAAGTATTTATTAAGTAATTAATTAAAATTTGAAACATGTTAAAGCAGAATTAATATTTTCAAGTTTTTTTCACAAATTCTTCAACAGACTCGTTAAAGACCAGCTGTTCACGTAGAATTTAATTGAGAGTTATTATCAAATTGGAGAGTTATTATTTAATTGAGAGTTACTATCAAAAATCATTTCAATAAACAGTTAATTTTTTTTAATTCGAACATTAATTTTCTATTACAATTACAATTGTTTTTCTTTAATCAACAGAAAACAAAATTAGTTGCTTTTTTTACAGATCGTTATACAAAAAATCTGTGATTTTTACGAGTGTAACTTTGAGGGTTAGTCAAGTTTGGAGATTAATTATTTAATTTTATTAATTACTTTGGGGATTAGTTAGTTACAGGATTAGTTACAACAAATAATTTTACCAATTAATGTTTGCCTGGTTAAAATTGTTTTCTACATGTTTGAGAAAAATGATTTCCTTTTAAGCTGCTATAGTTTGATATATTTCATAAATATTCAGATAACAATAGAGAAACAGTAAGAGACAGATAACAATAGAAAATAATAGAGATAAGTACGTTGTTTCTAATTGTATCACTATACTAATTATATGGCTATGTTGAGAGTAGTATATTTCTAAAAATAAATTTTTTGTACTTAAATACACGACTATATTGAGCTAACTGAATGAAGTTTATGGAGGAAAATAAATTTATAAAATAAATAAGTTATAACTAATTGTATTATTATTTTAAGCTACATTAAATTAATTATATATTACTGCAGGCACATTATTAAATTTAAAGATATTAAAATTGCTTCTAAATTAGTTATACGGTTGCATGAAAAGCAGGACTGTCAATAATGGTTTGAAAAAAGAATTTTTATTTTCTAAATAATTGTATTTTCCAGAAAAATAGAAAGAAAAATCTATCAGACTTGATACGATTTAAAAGTTTTTGAAAAACTTTTTTAAACGTTAATTGTGTTCATTTATTTTTCAGCTAATGTAAAGTTGCATTCATTAAAAATATTATAAAATCTTTCTCCAAAAAATTTATTTATTACATTAGAGTATTCAAAAATATTATTTTTATTAATTTTTTCATCAAGAGTCATTATTATTTTCTTTTTAAAAAAAATTTATGCTAATTTTAAAGATGAATGAGCTAGAGCGGTAATTAATATAATACTAGTTATTATAATTGTTGTTTAAATAGTCTTTAAAAATTATTAATGTCATATCTAGTGTAAATGCAGTATATTTTTACCATTCTTTTCATAATTTTGGATAATAATAATTTCAAATTTTAAATCAAATATAGGCTGACAAATTAGAACAGTTTAACAACTTCTTAAAATTTTGCTAGAAATTTCAATCTTACATTTATTCGTTACGTATTCCAATATTTGCTTTCTTTGCTTCTTTTCTTTTTTTTCTTTTCTTTCTTTTTCTTTTTTTTTTGCTCTCTACCACCCATTTTTGAAGGAATAAATTAAAATTTCTATTTCACATGATTTAACGATGTATTTTCCTACTTTAAATGGTCCGGAATTGGTCACAGTGTTTATCGAAATTAACAGCCATTATATTTTTTTCAATATTTGAATAGAAAATTCTTTTTCGTGCTTTATTTTTATAAGTTAAGCTCTTTTTATAAAGCATATTTTTTAATTTAATTAATAATTATTCGTTGTACATTTTGTGCAATTAAATTAGAATCAAGTAAATAGAAAAGTCTAGAGATGAAAAGTTTTCTATATTTTAAAGTTGATTTAAAAACATTTATTTTACAAAGTGTAGCTAGAAATATGAGATTACATTATGAGGTTAACTATTTCATACTATCTTCCCCTGAAATGGGCTGGTATATTATTGTTTCGTTGGATATGAAAAAGTTTGAAACTACTACTATAGATTACTTATTCCAGAATGCTGACCTTTATAAAAAATTGCTCAAACTACAAAAACAAAAGTCCTTTTATGCAGAGAGAAAATATTTATCAATGCTTGAAGTTAAAGATAAGGCTAGTTTCGAGTTATCAACTTTAATAGTTTCTCCCAAATTCGCATATTTTTTTGTTAGAAGGAGAACTCTTTTTCTTAGTTTTTAACTAATTGCAGAAGGCTGTTTTCAAATAAACTGCATGTAGCTTTGAGATTTTGGTCACTGGACTTTTCTTTAACAGGGTTTTAATTTTGTTGCTCATTTATGAAAAAATGGAAGCAAAATTGTTCAGAAAAGTAACAGAATGTAAATAAAAAAAATAGGTATTTCTTTCTTTTTATGCACATTCAATGTTCTTTTAAAGGTTGTTGCTGGATTGAACTTCAGACTCGATGTTGTAGTTGGCTTGACAACCTGCCAGAAGAGCGAAATGTCTCATGAAGAAGCTGGAGATTGTGAACTTCAAGACACCGTCGTAAGTGCCATAGTCTCTTAAGACATTTAAATTATTTATTGCTTTTCATTTAGAATAAATCTAAAGTCAATTTCATTATTTATGCACTCCAATTTTATGAAAAGTTAAAAGAAAATATAACTAACTACTTGTTAAGGTTTCAAGATAAAGTTAAAAAAAATACCCAATGCATATAAATTGTCATTTCAGACAAAGATAATTTTATCATGCATATAACACCATGTCGAAGATAATAATGAAATCAAATCATTTCCGTTAAAAATGCTAATAAAAAGAATACTATTAAATTAAGAAAAAGCTAGTTGTAACATTGTGACCTATACTATTTTAAACAAAATTTACATTTGTAAAATAATGATCAATTTTTGAAAAGTTGCATTAAAAATTGCTTTAAAATTATCATAATATTCTTTAATATTTTTTTCTTTTCTATTACTTCTATAACTTTCCTTAAAAAAGCAGATGAAACTTTATAGTAATGCCTTTGTGTTAATAATAATTGTACAATAATATAAATTGCAAAGAATAAAAGTTTCGAAAAGTGCAAAAATTAAAAATAAAAACTACGAATACAATTTATACTTAAAAAAAACATTTATGATATTACGATTAATTACGATTAAATATTACGATTGAAAAATACTCATTTATCTAAACAAAAATTCAAATTTTCTACATAGTCAGAAATATTTGGCTGCATGAAATTTAATTTCATTGTTCCCAAAAAATATTAGGTTAGGGTAAATTATGCTAGAATACATAGTTTTGTGTATTGCATCACAAATCTAAAGAAATTTTGATAATATCGGCGAAAGCAATTAATGCTCTTCTTTATTTATCCTAAAAATTGTAATATAGAATTTTTGACTTCACACTGAGAAAAAAAGTATGGTCAAAACTACCAAAATGTGGTAAAATTTACCATATTCTGATAGTTTTGATCATACTACTAAAATCATATTATTTTAATGTGGTAATTTTTCATTCTGGTTCTATGAAAACACTAAAAAGCCCATCTTTATTATATGCAATATAATTTAATAAATTTGGTAAAATTTGATAATTCGATCACGATATCTTAGAGCATGGCATAAAAATCATTTATTTGGGTAAATTCGCTTGTTAGTTTAGTATTTTTTATTAAATGGATGGTAATAAGACCTATAATTTTGAAAGCTAGAATTTCTAAAAAACACCGTTACTATTTAAACGGAAAAAGTACCAAATAAATAGTTAAATGGCTGTAAGTTTTGATTTATTAACCAGAATTAAGGTTATTTTTACCCAAAAATTTTTAATATCATAAAGTGAGCTAATTTTACCGGAATTTTTTTTCTTCGTGCTCTAATGAAATTTGACGACTTTTATGTCATAGTCATTAGTATTAGAGAACCAAAAACGAACAAAAAACTCCTTTGCGTTTAAAAATATTACTTAAAAACATTACTGATCCTTAAAAAAACATTTGAAAATCTATTTTATTTGCTTAGTTTCATAAAAAATTAGCTTTCGGAATAACATATTTCAGAATTTAAAAATTGCATTACTTCACCACTTATGTTGAAATATTAATTATTCTTTCAGAGCACCTACAAGAAATGCACTGTTATTGTAAACAGAGACTTGAAGGACAACCACAAAATGGTCACCTCCGGATGCATCCTTATTTCACGCGATGAAGTTTAAATGCACAATCTGAGATATATATTTTATTTTTATAGCTAAATCAATATCTGCCTATTTATAAACACCAAAGGAACATTTATTTTAAACTTGTTTCTTAAGTTTTCAAAATAAAATATTTCTCATTACGTAGCATTGTTCGTTCTTTTTACACAACTGTTAATTTAACCATTGTGTGAAATAAAAAGAATATTATCCACTCCCTAGCGTACGGTGGTAGTTTGCAAATGTAAATGCATCGATGAGATCTTTAGTTTGCGCATAGTTCAAAATTCGTGGTTAAGAAAATGGACATAGATTGATAAGGTGCTTTAAAAAATGGATGTAACTCAAATTGCGTGTTTAAAAAAATTATCATAGCTTGAAAGTCGTATTTTAAGAAATGGACAAAGCTTGAAATGTGTCTTTAAGAAAATTGACACAGTTCAAAAAACGTATGCAAGAAAATGAACATTTGTTCCCTTAAGCTATTTAAGCTATCTTCCATTTTCTTAAAGACTCATTTAAAGCTAAGCCTATTTCCTTAAATATGCATTTTGAACTATACCCAAACTAAAATGCTCACTGACGACTAAAGTTAATTTATTTTTAATGTTAAATACATAAGTTTAAGTAACAGAAATTCTTAAAAATTTAAAAACAAAAGCAATTAATGAAAATTGTAGCAAAAGTAAGTATTGCTCACATATATTTAACTATTTTCAAAGCAGTAAAATTTGCATCTAAAGTTTAGTCAAGAACAGTTAGATGCAAGTTAAGAAAAAACTGTTATCCCAATGAGAAAGCCTGTCAGCATTTAAGTGCACGCCAAATAGATGCCAAGCCCCCATCGAGAACATATATCAACAGCGCCATCAGCACTATCGTTGCACAGTCTTCTTGCTTGCTTTCCTAATTTATGTGAAATGAGGAAAATAAAACTTATTGAATAAAAACTATTCCCATGAAATTAAAGAGTTGCAGCATTTTTAAATAATACTTTCTGTTCACAATTGAAGAAACGGATGAAAGAAAAATAAAGATTGTTGCTTGCAGACAATTTTCTTTTAAAGCGAAACAAAAGTAAAACGCTTTATCTCGCATTTGATTTGTTGGCCAATTTTAGGAGGACACGCCATTTTTAGTGAATCAATCAAATTCAACGTCATATAGTTGTTTCTTTTTCAAAAACAAATGTTCTCCTTTTCATTAAAATATATCTCCAAGAAATCGACTGTTGCCAAGAAATTGATTGTATCGAAATATGTCGTCTTTTTAATAGTTCTATGATATACACCGAAGAGTCATTACATTATGACCACCCTCCATCTATAACAATGGGCTCGCCCAGGTTTTCATGGTTTCTCACCCAGGAACAATGTTTTCATTAGAACCCATAATCCTCATAGAACAATCCCTGACGTCTGCAAGCTACTGGAACATAGTTGCAGACCAGGATCAACCATTCATGGCAACAGTTTTTCTGGCTGGGGATGGTGTTTACCAATAGGATAATGCACCATGTCATAAGGGTCGAATCGTCGAGGAACATTCTAATGACTTTCAAGTCATGTCTTGGCCCCCAAATTCACCTGACCTTAATCCAAAGAGCATTTGTGGTTCTACTCGGAGAACCAAATTCGTGCTGCCACGCTACCCCCTCGCAATGTGAGGGAATCGCAGGACCAGTTGGTGAGTGCTTGGTACCAGATACCTCAGTCTACCTATCAGCACCTTGTGGAATCAATGCCACGGCAGGTGCTAGCAGTTTTGAGGGCTGAAAGTGGTCCTACATGTTATTAGCAGGGGGGGGGGTCATAATGTAATGGCTCTTCGGTGTATATCGTAAAAGATAGCAAAAATTTAAATTCTGAGTGATGTGTTTAATTTTTAAAAGCTTATATATTGTTATTGAAAGCATATTTGTATAATTTGATAACGAAATAAAACGGAACAATTTGCAGTCGCGAAGGATTACTTAAATCCTAAGCCGAAATGGTCTTGCAATGGAGTATAGTCATCGCATACGCGGCAAATCGAAGCGATCTGCTTTATCAATAGAATTTTCAACATTTAAATTTATTGATTAAAAACCGTAGCATTTCTTACTATATATAAAATTCTAATG